CGGCACCATTCGTGTAGGGAATCTAGATCGTGTTGCAGTCTACGACACTCAGCAAGGCAGGTAATTTTTCTAAAAATTTTGAGATCGTCGGCAAACATCAGCTTGTTGGATGAGATGTATCGGGGAAGGTCGTTGATAAATACTAAAAAAAGTAAGGGACCCAAATTAGACCCTTGAGGTACGCCTGAGGTTACAACATATGATCGAGATCGGTAGCCATTGTACCATACGAACTGAGTTCGGGTTGACAAATATGATTCGAAGAGGTCTACTAGGTCAACACTAAATCCGTAATCAGATAACTTCTTCAGCATGATACGGTGGTCAATCTGATCAAATACTTCGTCATATTGTAGGCAACCTAAAAGTGAACAGTTTCCGGCGTTTTATAGTAATATTAGAAAATACAGCCCACTGGACCTAGCCCCCCCCCTCCCCCAACTATTGTGGATCAATTTAAGAATTGTATCCAATTTATGAGCTTTTCATATCGCAAGCACAAAATTTTAGAGCTCATTTTTTAAAGTTTATTATGGAGTAGAAAATACCGTAGTCTTTCGAATTAAGTAGTTGAATGAGTTGCTGAAATCTGCGCCACTGAACACCTAAAAAATTTGATGTATACCTATGTGCTGGGAAATTTTCTTCTGTACAGTTTTTCTCTCTTGACATTTATGGCTTAAGATGCTTAGTTTTAGAGTTATTAAGAAAAATTTCAAAATGGGATGCTCAACGCATATGCGCTGTGTTTCAGAGGATATTTAATACCAAGTACTTGTCAAATTTCAGCTTGTCTCTAATGTGTTGAACGTCATCCTGTATTGTTCGTATGCTAATGGTTGACACACATCGACCACATGTCGGTACCATTTAAGCCCGTGCAAGCCCTTGCCACGATACGAGAGACAGGCCACCTGGGGACGCGCATGGTAGCGGTAGGATGCCACCTCTCAGATAATACACACCATAAAAAGAAATAATCGTTAATGACTGCAAGACGAGCGACAGAATCGTTGATTATTTCTACGGGTGTAGAAAAGGTATTTCCCATATTGTACGATTTCGTTTACTACCAAGCATGGTGTATAAAAAAAGACTATACACCATGCAAGGAAAAGCTCAAGTAGTAATAGCGTCAGTTTATCTCCCGGGAGATTCTGTCAACCTACCTCCCAGTAACGAGATGGTAGAACTGATAGAACACTGTGAGAAAAACAACAAACACCTCATTATAGGGTGCGACTCAAACGCTCACCATACTAATATATGGGGGAGCGCTAACGTCAACCCTAGGGGTAAATCATTACTCGAATATTTGACAAGCACTAATCTAGAGATTCTCAATCAGGGCAGTGAACCTACGTTCGTAACTTCCCGAAGCCAGACTGTAATCGATCTCAGTCTGGCATCATCGAGTATCTCGGATCATATAAAGAACTGGCAAGTCACTTCTGAAGCGACTATGTCAGATCACAGACTAATTTCATTTGAAATTGACTGTAAAGGAACCGTTCAAAAGGGCTATCGCAACCCCAAGGTAACGGATATTCCCCTTTACAAACATCTCCTTGGAGAAAAACTTAGAGAGCACCCCTTCGGGGGACGTCTCTCTGATCCTGCCGACATACAGGACGTAGTAGATCTCCTTACCAACTCTATTGTGGAGTCATTTGAACAGGCGTGTCCTCTGAGAACTGCCAAGACTCCCTATAACCATCCTTGGTGGTGCAGGGCGCTCGAAAAGCAGAAAACTCGATTGGGCAAACTGTTTAATAAGGCAAGGAAGAGCAAAGCTGCAGCCGACTGGAGAGCCTACAAGGCAAACCTAAGGCTATACAAGAAGGACATTAGAAGGCGTCAGAGAGAGGCATGGAGGGATTTCTGTAGCTCTATAGAATCCACCTCCTCGGTATCTCGCCTAATTAAAATCCTTACCAAAGATTCATACCACAACCCAGCTAGCCTCAGAAGAGAGGATGGTTCCTATACGGACAACCTCACAGAGACAGCTGAGGTACTAAGAGACGCTCACTTTCCTGGAGCCACCACCACGCTTTACCCCAACTGGCCTGAGACAATCCCTTTCACTCCCACGGAGAATGACTGGGCGGTTGCCTGTCAGGTGGTGGACGTGGCGAGGGTGACCTGGGCGATGAAATCGTTCTCAGCATACAAGTCACCCGGTTTGGACGGCATAATACTGGCTCTCCTGCAATGGGGACTGGATGATATTGCTACCTACCTAGTGGGAATATATACAGGCTGTATCGCTTTCAGATACATACCTAAACAATGGAGGGAGATAAAAATTGTTTTTATCCCCAAACCTGGAAAAGGTGATTACTCCACACCTAAAGCATATCGTCCAATCAGCTTGATGTCTTTTCTTCTTAAGACACTTGAAAGACTGTGCGATAGATACATAAGGTATACGGCGCTAACACGGTTTCCGCTGCATCCTAACCAACACGCATACTGCCCAGGAAGATCTACGGAATCAGCCCTGCACTGCGTTGTAGGGCAGATTGAGAGATCGTTGCACTATAAAGAGTCCGCACTGGGAGTATTCATAGATATAGAAGGGGCTTTCGACAAAACAACCTTCGATTCAATAGAAATGGCTCTATGTCACCACGGCGTACCGAACGTCATACAAGGCTGGATTGCGCAGCTGCTGAATCTCAGAGCAGTGCACATCAGCGTTGGCGACGAAACACTAAGGTGCACAGTAGTGAGAGGATGCCCCCAAGGTGGGGTGTTATCATCACTTCTGTGGAACTTGACTGTAAACAGGCTCCTCTGTCGCCTTAATGACAGTGGGTACTATACGCTGGGGTATGCGGATGATATATCCATACTTATAACCGGCAAATTTGAGGCTACTTTATGCAGACTGATGCAATCAGCTCTTACAGTAACCGAAGAATGGTGTAGGGAACACTCCTTGTCCATCAACCCGACAAAAACGGAGCTAGTTCTCTTCACAAGAAAAAGAAAGGTAGAGGGTATTCGAGCTCCCCTGCTATTCCAAAAACACCTCAAATTTTCAGAGTCAGTGAAATATCTAGGAATCACACTCGACAAAAAACTGAATTGGAGCAAACATATCCAGCTTAAAGCCGAAAAAGCAAATAGGGCTTTCTGGCAAAGTCGCCGCGCTATTGGCAAACTTTGGGGACCATCCCCGAAGGCTGTCCTGTGGCTGTACACTGCCGTGATTAGACTTATGTTCTGTTATGGAGCAATTGTCTGGTGGCCTAGAACCAGACTCTCCACAACTGTAGCACTCCTTAATCATGTGCAAAGACTAGCGTGCCTTGCCTGCACAGGCGCGATGCGAACGACCCCCACAGCCGTCATGGAGGCCCTCTTCTTGGATCTGCCTCCACTAGATCTCCACGTGAGAGAGCAGGCCATTCTGGCATTCCTGCGTCTGAAAAATAAGGGGTTGTTGAATAGCAGAGGCATTGATCGAGGGGGGCCACTCCCGAATTCTGGGCGAGGCGATCAAGCGTCTGCCTATCCTAGAGGGGAGATCGGACTCACTCACTCCTCAATTCATATTAGGGAAAAACTATCACATCTTTGATGAGAATATGGCATCCCAACCAGATATATTCATCTTCACGGATGGATCTAAGACAATGGAAGGTACAGGCACTGGTATTTACTCCAAAGAACTGAACTTCCATATCACCCAACCACTAGGCAAACTTCCTACTGTATTCCAGTCAGAGTTGGTAGGATTAACGCTTAGTGCAAGAACAGTTCTTATGCATAACATAAAGAACAAAACTACCAGAATCGCAAGTGACAGCAGGGCTGCCTTGCAGTCACTTGGTCACTGTAAAATTACCTCTAGGATGGTTTCCGAATGTCACCACGTACTAGAGCAAGTAGCAAGCAGCAACACCCTTGAGCTCGTATGGGTCAAAGGGCATGCTGGAACGGAAAGTAATGAGAAAGCCGATAAATTAGCCCGACTGGCCTCAAAACAGGCGTTTTATGGTCCAGAGCCGGCTCTTCCACTTACAGTTAAAACTGTAAACAACCTAATAACTCAAGACACCCAAACCCAGCACAGGGCTAGGTGGAACTTGATGTTAGATTGTCGCCATGCGAGAGAAGCCTTCAGAGGACCATCTTGTAGCTTGGCGCGTTTTTGTACAGGGCTATCAAGGAAGAACCTGAGGTTACTCGTGGGCATACTTTCTGGGCACTGTAAACTAAACAAGCACATGCACTGCATGGGTTTGGTGGAATCACCATCTTGTAGAGGATGTTACACAGACGACGAGACGGCATACCACTTACTCTGTGAATGTCCCGCTCTAGTCCAACTGAGACGATCCATGTTGGGGGAATCCTGGCCGGACATGGCTACGATTAGAGCCGCCTCCCCTTCCAGCGTCCTAAGGTTCATCTCACGTGTGAGATGGCTTGAGTGATGCTGAGGGGTCGGGCGACCCTAGTCAGGGAGGTAGTACAAAGGGCCCGAATTTGAGGCCTAAGTACGCGTGGACACTGTTCACCCTCCTATCGTAATCCAGAATCCAGAATCACCATGCTACCAAGTAAGTAGGTATATTCGTACAAAAGCATTCAATCGCACAATTAGTAAACTGGTAAATGTCCAAATGATATCGGTAGTTTAGAAATTAGATTCAACTTTTAGGCTTTTCGAAACGTTTTTATATTTAACGCAGGCTTTCGAAGTGAAACATTGCCCAAACTAATGATCTGTATAAATTTGCAATTAAGTTTCCCTCGCATGTATGGAATTCCAGTGGATTTCAATAAAATAGTTTGGCTTCGACATTGTTTCCTACATCAACAAATTTTAAAGGGCGCAACTGGTCTTATTTATGCCTATGAAAATCGATTTCATAATGAGTTAGATTACAAACAGCGCTTACGAGAAATCTTTGTAACGCTCTGTCCAGTTTAGCCTGAGCAACATTATCTTTCATTGTTTCCTAATGACTTATATTTGTTTATAGATACTGTACACCAGAATCGCATTTGGCCTGTGGAACAGCTCTAGAAAACTGGAACGACAGCTGAACGCCTGCTCACATGAGCTGCAGCAGTCATGTCGACATAAATCGTCAGATAAAAAGGTAAATCTAAAATGCTGGTTCCACATTTATCAAAGTCTTTCCTTTCCTTCGAATTTTATACTCAAATAGCATATTAAGCACCCTTCACACCACATCATATTTCAATATCGCTGTCGTTGTCAACGACTACATAAAAGTAGCAGGACTTTTGTAATGAAATTACCTACTCGGGAGCCCATCACACAATACTTATAAGTTTAAACTTACACTCAAAAGGTCTTTATTCGCTCCGAAACTTTATCAGCAGGGGCTTTTAAAGGTATCGTAGTTCTACAACTAATTATTCTTGTCTTCATCGGAAGAAGGTAGGTGTTGATTAATCCCGGTTAATACTGTCTTTGGAGAAACAATACCGATCAAGGCATTGTTGTACTAAACTTGGTTTTCATTTTTGTAAAAATGATGGGGATTTCAGTTACACTTATCTGATAGATAACCTCTCATTTTCCAATTATATTGGAATACTCTTATTTCAAACAAACAAAAACCACACTGCGCACTCCGTTGAAATAAATGCCCCATAAACCAGAGACACAGCTTTCTGCATAATAGGTAATTTTCTACAGAAGCTGTTCGGTGCAAAAGTTTTATTTTATCGTCGATTGGGATCTCACATTCCACCTTCCATTTCCTATTTTGTATTCAATTTAGGTATTTTCTAGTCATTGTTTGTAAAGTTAATTCCTTTGTATCCCAAGAGCCATTGCATTTTAGTGCTATACGCTTTATAGGTACATCTCCTCGAAAGAATAATATAATCACGGAAGTATCTCCAATCTCTCCGAATATATAGGTATAGGTACCGTTTAATTAAATTATTTCTGCAGGATTATCAAATCCCATATTGAGCCGTATCGTAAAGTTGATTTACAATATTATATTTCTTGCTGTATCATGAATGCCCTATTAATTATTATATTATGCCGTCAACAACTGCGCAAACCCGGGTGTGCTCCACAGTGCATTGGATTGCGAAGTTCAATTAAATTATGGCCCGGATCGGAAAAAGTATAATATAATATCAAGATTAAAAACAAACCATTCCAGCATTGCGTGTTCCACAACGAAATAGCAAAAATGCCCAGATAGATAGCTGGCATGAAAAGCTGAAAATATCAACCTAGTAGCAATTGGGTCTCATTTGCTAAAATAATAATATGGTCTTAATGTAAAGTATTCTGAACGTTCAAAACTTTGGGGGAAACCACAGCTCGAATTTTAACGAACTAAAATTTGTTGATATGTTATATACTTTCACCGTCTGACCTCATATAGACACCATCATTGATATCATTTTTCTTTGTTTTGGCATTAAGCGATCATTTGTAATTATAATTAGGTATTTAGTTATTTATTTATTTATTGTCCCTCTTTCGTTCTGGGCCGTCAACAGGCTTGCGCGCAATTACAGAGTAACCCGCATAATGCTTTTTCGAGGTGCCCCTGCAGAAGGTCTTCAGTCCTTACGAATTAGGAAAGCTTCATGAAAACCTAACTCGAAATAGCCGGCAGAATGCTCGAAACTGATCTAAGGAAATTCCCATCTCTGTCACAGATGAAACATTTTTACCTCAGCCTAGGTTCGAACACCCGACCTCCCGGCTATGTAGCTCTACCACTAAGCTACACAGTAGGTTATTACTGTATGGATGGCACTCCCGAGATACAAACGTTTTCAGATCGCATCAATAGCTGTCAGTGGGATTTAACGACAGTCGTGGTATGGCTGCCAGAACCGCCAGTTTTACATGCACTCCGAAGCATGGTAGTCAGGAGATGTTTTGTACCACTAAAAACTGGCAAGTTGTGGGATTGAAGCTCGCCACCTGTGAGGTTAGAATCCGAATCTTAAACCGTTAGCGCAAACTGACTGCTATTACTATAATTAGGTGTAAATCACAGATATTTTGGCGCGGAGAAAGCGCGAACACACATACAAGAATTGAATTCTTAACATCTATAATAATGGACAGGATATGGACCAGCGCAATCGAAAAATATGCCTCTTTTAGAGCCACAGTCGACAACGGAGCACCCGATACCTTTCTCAGTTAAAATTTTTAAGATGGTATCTCCCGAGGACAAAGATTAAAAGGTGTATTGGGATATAGCGATCACACATCTTTAATTTCATATACATAAAGTGTGTACCTATAGTATAATTGTTTAGAATAGTGTTCTAATTTTGCTTATACATAAATAAATAAAATAAATAGATATAGTTCTTTATCCATTTTCCTGAATAATTCTTCATCACGCGGTAAAATCCATTCAGTTCAATAGGTGGCGGGCCCAGCGAGTGAAAATTTGTTCTGTAAATATTGTTTTAAAGAATGCATATTAGGAACATCAATTTACGTGTAACTCAATTTTATTATTCACGGCGAAACGATCGGACAACACCAGTTATTCAATCTGGAAGTTTAAAATGGAGCTGTTATTAATAAAGGAAGGTTTGTGGAAAGTGATTAAGAAGAAAGCGCCAACACCAAAAAAAGAATTTAATTCATCGATTGTAATCAAATAGAAATTGGTGCTTGGTACAAGCTGAATGATCAAGCAGGGGCATGTATTAGGCTTTCAGTTGAAGACGATCAACTCACGCATTTTCGGATAAGAAAAAATTCGATCGAATAAAGTACATACTGATTTATTCACTAAAAATGGAAGAAAGCGGTAGTGCAAGGAATGCAAACGTTATTCGTGAAGCTTATAATATTGCGGTTAATAGTGACTGGAGTGAACGGATATTGAAATCTGTTTCCAAGGAAACGGAGTGTTTCTCCTGCAAAAATCGGATCACATGAAGAGTAACTGTGAAAATTATCAAAAGTGGAAAGTTAAAAAGAAGAAGGAAGATACAAATAATGGTAACATTGCGAATGATCGTGAAGTTATGTTCATCACTACAAACAATATGCATCACAGTGGCTGGATTGTACATTGGGGTGCAACAAGATACTAACATTACCAATAACAGGAAGTTCTTTTCGACACTCGATGAATTATATAAGAGTGTTATTAAGATCGGAAATGATGGGTACTGTGCATGTTAAAGGTAAAGGTAGTGGTAAATTGATGTTTAAACCAAAGAGTAAAGTATCCTTTGGTTTAAACAGTGTAAAGACAATTAAATGATTAAACGAACTTACCTTAGTGAAGTTCAATCATAATTGTATGAAGATCTCTTCCGAGTGATAAATATGTAGTAGCTCATCTGTGAGTTACGCGCCACACATTTAAAAAACAAAGAAAAAATGTAGGTAAGGCAGGTCTCTACATGATCTACGCTAATGCAATACGCCATTGATTTGAAAGCAACTATACCGCAACACAGGGTAGGTGAGGGTGGGACCTTATCACTCGGAAGAGATCTTCATACAATTATGATTCAACTAAGGTAAGTTCGTTTAATCATTTAATTGTATTCCGCTCTCTTCCGAGTGATAAATATGTAGATGTTTAAAGAACACTGTTGCGGTAAAAACAAGAATTCGTACAAGGGATACTCAGATAAGTAACCAATATTATGTTTTTAATCTGAACAAGGTAAGAAAGAGTAGGTTACTCAAGAACACTAAACCGAAAAGCTTCAAGGTTTGAAGACAGTGGGAGATCATAAAACTTTACAAATTTTTGCGAGTTTTCAGACCAACCTGCGATTAATCTAAAATTGACTCCCTTATTACATACTGTCTCTTGTTTCTTCCTGATGTTTTGATTCTATCTTGGATTTTAATTTGATATATCCTATTTTTTTTGACAGTTTTACATCATTTATATGCCTAAAAATTAAAAATTTCTAAAGATTAAAAATTCATAATAATAAATTTCTTCCATGGGGATCGCAGTTGGAAGCGTCCCCATCACACTGGCTGCGTTGCCACGTTGTATAGCAATACTTATCCTTTGTTGTAAGTAAGTGGTACCTACCTCGGAGTTCCCCAGTAAAATTGGTAATGCGTTTTCCCAGGCATTCCACAAAATTACGAGGTTCTCTACACCAAGGTCCCAAAATCTCTATACTGCGAAAGGTATAAAAATATATAAAAATCCAAGATACAAGATAACAGAAAAAATTTTAAAACGTTACTAGGGTCCCCAAGTTTGATTACATCGAGGGTTTAAACGCTTTCAGTTATGCAACCCTCATATCGTCTAATAAAAGGGTAATTTAAAATCTTCTATAGATAACAGAGAAATTGCAGACGTGACCGAATTAAGAGTTCCTACTGAGGCTCCTTCGTTAAAATACAATGTTAAAAAGGACAAAATATTTGATCTTGAAGAAAAGAAAAAGTTACTATTCTTTGATGAACAGTACCTACCACTTCTTCAGGTTTGTGTTGTATTGCTTCAACGTTGAGGTGGAAAGAGAGGCCAGCAAAAACTCCATTGGTCTTAATACAATCAATACAAGGTTGTGCGGTACTGCTGTAATTGATGTGGGGTTCTCTTAATATAGAGTAATAAGTTGTAGTTCGGTTGTAAGTAGTCATTTCTGATATTATTAAGCATTTAAAGATTGGGAACCTAGGTTGTACAGTCCCAATATGGGACCACTAAAAATATCTTTTGCAACACCATCTAAATCAAGTGAAAAAGAGGGAAACTGCTTGGTAACAACAGATTGTAAATGCATCTGTTGTAATTGAAGACGGTTTCGGAAACCACGATATTTAACGTGTGCATTTAATAGTAGCTCTAGGTGCAAAAAACATCTATAGACGGGGTGCCAAATTTCTTTGTAATCAAAAAGTAACGTACAACTTGGTACTTCATATATGGTTCTAACCCAAAGGGAAGCGAAATCTGCATTATTAGATCGCGAGGTTGCGATATGAAGCGTGAATCCATAGTCCTCCAGCTTGGCACCACTGCCAGATACCTTAGTGAGTCTCACCAGTCCATGACACCATGCACCAGTCTAACACTTTAGGTACCTCCCTTTCTATTAATGTAGGCAATTAATATAATTGAAGGAAGTAGATAAATTATAT